GTAGGGCAGGATGGCTTCGGTGGAGCGGGAGACGCTGTCCCAAGATGAGCTCCGGAAAAGGCTCTATCAGACCTTTAAGAACCGAGGCGTGCTGGACACGCTTAAGGTGTGCTTTATCTTCAGCAGGTGCTAGCTATGATTCGCTGCACTGCTTAACACTGAAAGCAGCGAAAGTCACGCCGAATAAGCATGTCTCCCCCCAAATGTATTATTTTTGCCACAGCCTAATTCATATTCAGCTGGTTTTTGTTTTGTTTCCCCCCCCCCCCAGATACGAGGTTCTTCCTAGACAGAAGTGCTTTTTGTTGTGGTTTAGTCTCGGAGCCTTTTTCAGGAAAGTTAAAGCCCTGCATCAGGTCTTTGAGAATTTCCATGCTTGATAAGAAAGTCAAGCAGGGAAGAGAGGAATAAATGAGAATACAGGCTTGGAAAGGATCTCCTAGGTCACTGAGTCTGCTTATTACCTACTATAAATAAACACACTATATGAATTCTTCTCCTAAAATATTCCAGTTCAGTTTTAAAACTATTTGAGCTGTTTTCTCCCTGTCTGCTTGTTCAGGAGAATGTCTTAGAATATGGTGGTGTTCAAGAGTGAAACTTTGTTCTGATTTGTAGTCTGGGTTTATTTATGGTTGCTCTGGCCTTTCTTCTTGTGCTGAAAGTGTCCTTCAGTTTAAGTAGCTCTTACTCCTCTGGATGATTTATAGGCAGCGGTCATACCTTTTCTTCAGTGTTCTGTTCTACAACGCTAAGCAAGTCAAGGTGCAGTAGTCTCATTGCTGGTTACCACAGTAGTGCTCTGCATCGCTTTGAAATCTTTCCCCCTTTTTTTAAAGGAAGTAGACCACGATCATTGTGAGCTTTCCAGGCAAAGTTTAGAATGGTATTAATCCTTCCCTGTTTTTGTGGGAAAGTCTGGGGGATTCTGCATATGTCTCTTCTTGAGGCGTGCTACATTTGTAGTGCTCGTCATTGTTTGGTTGACACATCCACATCTTGCTTTTTCCAAACAATAAATCCCTTGTGTTATAGCAGAAATTCATATCAGGCCTTAAATGCTGAAATGGTGTAGTTCATGCAGTTTCAGTTTTGCTAGTCTTTAAACAGCATCTGATCGCATTTTTTTATGACGTCTTGATCTTTCTATACTCCTATATGTGTCTCTATGTCACCAGAAAATTTTTTTAGCTCCTGCTTGTTATGTCAAATTCATTAAAGTTAAAAAAAAAAAATTAAAAATCAAGTTCTATATTTTAAGAATAGCATTAATAATCTTATAGCCAGTAATTCCCTGTTCAGGACAACTTGTTTCTCCCTCAGTGATGTCCATACTAAGCTTCCAATGCTTGAACCATTTCTTGTCTTGTTTGACTTACAATGCCACCTGACAGACTATTAGTTATTTAAGTCCATTTTCCTGCTTTGTTTTCCTTGTCTAGAAGATTATACATCGTATTAAAGATTTTGTAGCTTTTCTGAGCTGAAGAATTAATACAGTTGGGTTTCTTACGGATTTCTTATGGATTACATCTTCTAATGAGAATACTCTCAACTTTCTCGTGGTCTTATCTGTCTGCCTGTGCTGCTAAGAGGCAGAGCGGATCTGGAGCTACAGGTATGCTGGGTGGCCAACATACAACAACTGATTTCCGCCTTCCTTTCTCATAGTAGGGATGGGGATTTAGCCCTCTGCTTTCCACCTGCACTTGGTCATAAGATGTATAAGAGGTTGCTGGTCTTGCTTATTTTTGAGATGTCATCTCTGTTAAAGTTGGTTGAAACTGGAGAAGTTCAGAAATTAATAAGGAAAGCAGATTTTTTCAGTTGTCTTCGTTTCTCTCTATTGTCAGCCTAATTTCTGTAGAAGGCCGTGCTAAAATATCAGGCTAGTCTGATGATCTAAGTTTGTTAAGTTTTGGTAAGTATTTTGTCCTGGTTTTGGTAACACGCTACTTCTTTAATCAACTTTGTCAGTGTTGCATACCTGCTGTTGAAAGCTTAAAACGCTGTTTGTGTCGTGATCTTTTAGTACACTATAAACAATTTGTATAATTATATAATGAAAATTATTATTTCTTCCTTGTGCAGGAGGGAGACTTTCTGATGTTAGGTTACTTTTTTTCTCTGCTGTAACTCATAGAATGCAAATAAATAATAACAAATTCAATTTAATTATTACGAGTGCTTGTAGGCTTTTCTGATGAGTACTCTTTTGCTTCTGTACAAAATAATTGATACTAAAGACATTGAATTTCCTGTGTATTTTTCCATCTGCTTTTGTGATGGCATTGGCAGCTTCTTGATATGAGACTCAGAAGAGGACGAGTGAGTTTTCCAAGTACACCTGAAATTGAGGCCCCATCAGGCAGGCTTTATTTAAGCCAGGGAGAAGAAGAACAGGAAAGCAATGGTCTAAAAATGAAGCTGGGGGTACTAGAGTGGAGTTTATGTGAGTCCTTGACTGAGAACAATACTGCTTTTCAGTCCTGTATTTGATACATCTTGAGGGAAATTAGAAGATCACTGTAGCCACTGTTAGAGCGTTTTGAAGAAAGGTGCAGTGTTCCAAGCACTGTTCTAAATTTTGCCAGTTAGTCTGCCCATTTCTGTTATGTAGGTTGTGATATAACATGTACAAGTAAAATGAGACTCCCTGTGAATTTTGAAAAAAACCCTCTCATTGAATAACATGTAAACTAAGAATATAATGTCTCTTCTGTGTCAGACGCAGCTCCGAAACCAGCTAATCCATGAACTAATGCACCCAATTTTAAGTGGAGAACTTCAGCCACAGGTTGTTCCAAGTGATGATAGTTCACTTTTGATCACAGCTTCCAACAGTTTGGTGGCAGATCATCTACAGAGATGTGGCTATGAGTATTCACTTTCTGTTTTCTTTCCAGAAAGTGGATTAGAGAAGAAGAAGGTAAGTTTCAGTAATTTAGCTCTTCTGAGACTTCTAGGAGCTTTGCTTGCTGGGAGTTGTCATATTCCAACAAAAGTGAAAAAAGTCCCCTTTTGTGATAGTGAAATACAAGTACAGCTTCTGATCATCTCCATAAAAGATTTCATTATTCAGGGCCATTTTCATGAATACTTTAAGTTGGCAATAAGCTAATGATGCTGTTCTGGAAAGACATAGCACAAGCCTCTTAACTTCGTGCTTCGTCCATAGCTGTAGTCTGGCACGATCATTTGTGAGGCTGTGTGGCAGAGCACTTGGGGAACTGATCCCAGTTAAAGCAAGCCTTTTGTTTGGCCATTCAGTTCCCTGCAAGTGTGGTTCGTGGTCAGTTTAAGTTGTTCTAACTACAAGCTGTGGCTGAAAAGGGCAGTCCTTCCCCTCTCTGTTTCTTTATGAGTTTGTGATAGGGTGAAGATCTTTCTAACTGAAAATTAGTTTTTTGACCTGGGGAGTAGTTAGTGTCATTTCGGTTAATGAGCTCATCTGATTTGTATGATAAATCAAGAAAAAAGGCAAGGAAAGTAGCAAGAACATGTATCCAGGGTGGGGAGAAAATAAAACTCTCTCTTTTCACAGCTTCAGTTGATCATGAAACCGCATGTTGGCTGCCTTATGTCTTAGGTAGTGGAGATAAGTAAATGTAGTACTAGAACAGCAGACCTCTGAAAATGGTTTTACAAGGCAATAAATAGATATTTCTTGAATGGAAGACATTCTACAACTGTAAAATATTGCCTATTACATATTTGAAATTATTTTAAATTAGTTAACCTTTTCTAACTTACCTTTTTTTCCCTAAAGCTGTGGACTGTGCAAGATCTTCTTCAATTAATGAGAATCAATCCAAAATCCAGTCTTTACAAATCACTGGTAAGTTATTTTGATTTTGAAAATAAGCTTAAATTACAGTTGTGATGAAATAGACTAGCTAAAACATTCTTTATTTCTTACAGACTTCGGGAACTCGGAAGGAGAATAAAGGTACAAGATGTTTATACAGGATGCAGACAAGGATAATTGTGTCAGCTTCATTTTTATTAAGATGCGAGCAATAGGAATTCAAATTTCTTGGGTGTATGTTGGTATGGAATAATAAGGATTCAGTCAGACTTTGAAACTTGCAGTACACCAAGATGACGAATATTATGTTTCAGGATTATCCAACTGCTATTTGTGTGGATTAAGCATTAACATTCACCTACAAAATAAATGACTTGGAACATTAGAAATATGAGAAAAAATCTCTAATCAGTTATTAAATATAATGCTCTTTGGAAGCTTTTCACACTAACTTTGGCAAACTCGGATTTTGGTTTGTGTTTACAACTGAATGTACTGGCTTGCACAATGTACTTCAAAAACTAGTTAAAGATTTAATTGACTTTCCATTGGTTTATATAAGAAATAATTCTTATGTCTGCATAATGAAACCTAACTATATTGTATAGCCTAAAGGAGCTTGATCTTCAGAAACACCTGTTGCCTAATGACCTCATAATTAAAGTAGTAATAATCTGCTCTCTCAAATGACCTCGGAAGTCAAAGAGACAAAGAGACATGGATGAAAGGAAAAGTTGCAAAAGGACAGCTGTTGCAGAATGAAATGGACTTGGATTATGCTTATAATAAAATCGTAATAGTTTACTAGCATTGATTTTTACTTAAATAGTTGGTTCTTTCCGTAAATCGAATACGTTTTCTTGTACAGTGAAAATGACTTCATTAGTTACAAGCTCAAATTCAGTTTTGGTATGAAGTCAGAACGAATTAATATATTGGATCTTGATAGGTTTTCTTATGCAGATTTTAATCGGACTAACAGAGCATCATCTAAGTAGGGAAACTCATGACACAGAGACTCAGACAACCTCAGTGCCTCCTTACAGAGAATCGCTTGGTAAGTGCAGCCTCTGCAAGCAAGTCTCCCCAGATATTTTTGTATCAGTAAATGGTATGGATTTATAAATTGTATGAAAGGTTCATACAATTGTGAACATTCATATTCATCACTTGCTCAAATGCAGCCTAAAGTAATAATAAGTAAAGGTCATACCTATCATTAGTACATTGATTTTCTAACCTTTCTTAAAATAAGATGAAAGTCTTGTTATGATTCTTTTTTTTTTTTTAATCACTCAGATGTTTTCTTAGGCATTTAGCTAAGAGCTGTAATATCTTAGATGGACTGTAAATTTTATGTGCTGAAATACATTCTGGAAAACATAATTGTAAATGCATGCCTTGCTTCTCTTTCTATGATAGTGTTTCAGTGAAAGTTAAGTGTAGATTGGGAGTTCTTAAATTATAATGTGCTTGCTGTTAGTAATACAAAAAACCTAAAACTTGCATGCAAAAGAAAATTCTTGTGCATCCATGATAAAGACGAATGACTATGTAATACCACAAATAGTGCCTAAACAGCCAAGTGCTGCCTCCTAGTTATATGTTGTGTGGCATAAAGCTGATAAATGACATTTCTGTGCTGCCTCTGCTTTTGTACCACACAAGTCGTTCTATGACAGGGCTATTTAGGTAAACTAAGGAACTTCCTACAGAGAGACAGGTTCCTATAGTTTTTGGTAGGATAACTGTGGTGACTGTTTTTCAGTGATGATGGATATATTGCTCTTTTTATAGCTGAGAAGCTTCAGCTGATTGATGAACAGTTTGCAGACTCTTATCCCCAGCATCAGAAATACGAATCTTTAGAAGTAAAACTTCATGAATATAGAAAAGAAATAGAGAAGCAGCTTCAAGCAGAAATGTGTCAAAAGGTATAACTGGTCATTGAATTTGAAAGGGACATTTGTTAATTTTGACTTCTCACGTTACAAACTTTTAATACTTAAGGTAAATTGAAAGAAAAGATCTAATAGCGAGTTACAACAAGCACAAAAGGCTATGTTAATCCAATATCAATTGTTAATTTGATGATATAGCATGTGTATATTTTCCATTCCCCTGTTTTGTTAAATGTGCACAGGATGTTAAGCTTTTTATTCTGATGTTAATTTGTAACGCAACTTTTTCTTAATTTGATTGTCTTAATTTGGTAAATTTTATTTGCTCTTTGATTTCTTAGTTTTATGGAGAAACGTTTACTCTGCTTAGTCGTACTATTAATTTTCCTTCCCCATTAAGATTTTGAAGCTTAAATTTCAATATAATGCATAGCAAATGACAGGTGTGAATTGCAGCTGTGTAGCTTAACAGATAGTTGAGTTTATGTTTGAAAAATGGAGCAGAGAGAATATACTGCAGTTCATTTAAATATGGGGGGTTTTTTCCATAAATTTGATATAAACTCTTTGAGGAGATCAGTTTAGTCATATTTATTCAGCTAGACAAGTAGAAGGATGGAGAGTTACAATTGCCAATATATTTTACCTTCATTTTTCATTTAGTCTTTATTCCGCAACAGGCGCTGTCTTTCTAGTATGTGAAACATGTTAATTCATGTGTTAAGTTTGCCTCAGTTTAAGCAAAGCCATTGTAACAAAGGAGATTGGAATCTTAACCAGATATAAATCACTTCTAAATTCAATTAACTTTACACAGATTCCTTAGCAATGTGACGTGAATTGCTGTAAGACATTTCTAATCCAATTTGTGTATGTACAAGTGATACTGCACTGTCTCACCATTTCTTTCATTTTTCACAAAATTTATGCCTGCAGACCTGAATTCCTTGATCAGGTGTTCCTACTGTGCTTTTCCCCCTCTCTTTAACCTCACTTGCTCCAGTCTCTCAATTTTTCTGTCATTGTCTTTTTATTCTTTTGCTCATTTTTTTCTCATATTTTTTGTCTTGTATGCTTGCTTTCCATTTTGTTCCAGATTTTTGTTATAATTCTTTATAACTCTGTTCTTGCATTTATTGTACTTCACACATTGTATGGTGGCGTGTTCCCTACAGTTCTTCTGTGCAGTTGAAAGATGCATACTTTCCTGTTTGTATGCATTTACTTTTTTTTCAGTTGTGCTAAGAAGTCCGTGAATCAGGACTTCTGTTTCTGTAACCCTCTTTATGTGGAGTTACACGCTCTGCATTTTTTTATGTTTGGCACTTTTTTGTGTCCAGATGTATTTCTGTTGTTCCTGAGCGATTCAGGACGGGTCTGATTCTGCCATTTCTTGCATCACCAGTCAAAAGTGGTTCTTTGGGAAAGGGACAAGAATAGAGACAGTGTCAGAGGAGGAATTAAAGAGTGTGGCCATTCCTTAATTGCAAACAGAGTATCACTCCTGCAGTGTGTTTTTCTTCGTAGGCCTCTGTTTTGCTCTTGTCTAAAGCTATTAGTTTTGTGTAAGATCTGCTTTGGGATGCCAGATAAATGCATGAAAACTATGTGAGACGTGCAAATAGTATGTTCTGCTAAGATACTTTATCACAGTAATTTATTTTCATCAAATTATCATACGTTTCCTAACAAAAATTTCTAAGTGAAATTTAGAATTGTCTGAGGAGGGATTGTCTTTGTCAATTTGAAGATGGCCCTGCTTACCCCACTGTTTCTCCTTTATGTAAGCTAGAACATTTTAAAGAAGTTGAAATAGCAAAGATTAAAATGGAGGAGAAAGTGCAGACCCAGAAAGAAATCTCTGAGCTGCGTCATGAGTTGGAGAGGACACATCAGGCAAAGTCTGAAGCCTTGATTTCTCGTGAAAAGAATGCTATTGAGAGGCTTCAAAAGCAACAAGAGGTAAAGTTCCAAATATTTTTTCTTAATCTAGTACGAAATGATTCAGTGAGTTGATTAAATTGTTCTTTTATCTTCAGGAGATTTACCTTCAGATTGTACTTGGCTTATTAGTGAAAATGTTGAATTTACTTTTGTTCTCAGTGGACCTCATTTAGCAACTGCAAGAAAGAGTATGGGTAAATATCTAAGTAGAGCTGGCTGGAAAAGGAACAGTTCTGCAGGCTAGGATTGATGGATTTAAATGTAATAAATACTTTTTAATTTGTTTTAATAACTTTGCTGAATTCAGATCACTGAGTTTTTTTAAGAGAAAGTTGAACATATCTTTTAGTTATACTATAAATTCTTTCAGTTGCTAAGAAGGACTCTAAACTAAATGGAATATATAGTCTGTATGGTACGGATATGCCATCTCTATGTCACTATGTGTTGAATATTATTAATAGCCACTGTCTTTACTGTAAGCTAGCATCTCACTTTGTTTCTTTGAACACTTTTTTGATGAGTTACTCCTTTGGGCTGTTAACTATTTGCGTTTTGCCAGAGTACTAACTGTTCCTGCAGCACACAATAATTTGTACATAGTTCTAAATTGCTTCTCCCAATCTCTATTACTTTTCAGTTTTTGGAAGAATAGTTTGCTTGCTATTCTGTCACCTGTTTGCTTCGCCATCCCTCTGCTGTCTGCAGTAGACCTTCCTATCCAAATAATAGTCATCCACAAATGCTAACCACATTTTTGTGGTGAGGTTTTTTTGTTGTGGTGGTGGGTTTTTTTGGTTTTCAGTTCCTCCTCCCCCCCCCCCAAGGGCCCGTGGGATTAGCTAACAAAGCAATCATACAGGTCTCTATATAGTTTATTATATACTGGTCTTTACTATTGACCTCCTTCCAATCTGAAAGTTAAACATTTTATCACTACGCTATGAATTTCTTTCATGGTTATGTCCTTAGAAGCTTACAAGAAAACCTATTTTATGCTATCAATCTTCTTCTGTGGGTATGAAATTAATTCAGTAATTAAAAAAAAAAAAAGACAACTAGATCAGCGTATCGGTGAGGTGTTGTGTATGAATATCTGGCTTATGCACTTCCCTGAAAAGTATATGTGTCATTTACCTGGGGACTCTTAGTGGAGACTAGGAGCTCTACTGAGTTGAAGTATATTTACAATAAAGGTAGAAGGTCATTTAACCCTTTACTAAGATAACTTTATGCCCAGGTAATATGGCTTGACAAACTGCTCTGGTTTTTGCACTAGGAACAGCAGCTCAGCCTTTCAGCACTGTCAAATGCACACGGCTTGCAAACTTGATATGAGTACCTGTATGGCAAAATCATACTTTTCTTCTTCTTAGGCACTTATTATTTCTTTGGAGAGAAATAATGATTTGTGTGCTTAAGGACAAGAAAAGCTATTTTTTATTAATAAGAAGGTATGTGACTTTTGGTATTAGCATGTTTGGAGAATCCCTTTTACAGTTTGTTTGATTTCCATAAGTTAAACTGCAAAAACTGAAAGACTGCTGGTTTACTCAGTTTTAATTTTAAATCATGTTTTATCACGGGGTTTTGGCATTTGTTTTTTCAATTTTGCTTTTATGAAGAACATATGAAGCTATTGTTTATTAAAAAAAGTCAAGTGTTTGAACATGTTTACTATGTAATTTTTTTAAAAACAATTTTTCCTTGTACATAAGTTTTAATCAGTGCTATTTCTTAAAAGAAAAGTGTTTACAGGAAGCCAGTAGTGACTCCATCTAAAACATTTTCACTCAGGGTAAAAGGAGAAAGGGAACAAAAAAAAGATAATTACAATCAATTCTGGATGTTATTTCAAATTATGACTATGTATTTATTCGAGTAAGACCAGTTCCTGAAGAAGATCCTTGAAAGTTTGAACATGTTAAACAGTAAATACCTGTATAAAGTGTGAAGTAAAACTAGAGATAATATTTTGTGATTCAGATAGAAGCAAAGGAAGTATACGCTCAGAGACAAAGTCTACTGAAAGATATCGAAGTCGTAAGGACCAGAGAGGCGGAACTGAAGCAAAGAATTGAGGCATTTGAAGTGTAAGTTGCTGAAGGGCATATACAATGCTAAAATACGCTGTTGTCCTTTTTCTGGAAAGTGTGCTTCAAGATGTTGCTGCTTCTATGACATTGAAATGGATTATATATCCCGGAAGTTGTGTTTTGCATTTTCAGCAGTGTTGTATACTGTCTCTAGTAGCAGGGATACCCCATACAAAAAGATGTTTGGGGTTTTTTTCTATTCTACCTAATCCAACCAAAACAGTGCAGCATCAGTTTGGAGGCAAGGAACCAGATGTTTGCTTTGAAGTGCTTAAATTAAAAAAAAAACCGAAACAACAAACCCCAGACAACACAGTGTGTAACCCTAACACTCATGAGGCATGTATGTGATATTTTGCTTCTTTACTCCTGGGTTGTTTGGTTTTTGTTTTTTTTTTTTGAATTGTCCTTGGAAGATCAGTTTTCTTTGGTTAAATAAAAAAATAACTAAACCATTTTTGGCCAGCTTTTCAATACACTTAATGTCATTACTTTGTAATCTTTTTTTTATAGGAATATGAGTATCCTGCCAACAAAAACTTGTTTTTTTTTTTAACAACCCAGCAGAGGGTGCTGATAGAATACCATGCTCAGCCCTATCTCCTCTGAAGCCTTTCTGGTGTAGGAAGCTGAGCTAGAGTTAACCTGGGATAGCTGTGCAATTGATTGGTACTGGATTTTAAATAGGGCAATTTAGTTTGTGTGACATCTCCTGGTTCTTAATGAATTACAATGACAGATTCTGATGATAATTTTAAATTGCTACAGTGTTCCAAGCAAGCACATTATCCTTTGATGTCCCTAAATGTTATTTTAAAAAAACACAAAACAAACCCTAAAGTTTCAACATTGTAACTGGTCATTTTCTGTATATTTATGGATATTTCAGCACTCAGAAACTTCAGGAAGAGAAAAATAAAGCTATTGATGATGCACTTCGACGTCGGGAGGTTGCTGTGAAGAACATAGAGGAGACATATGATCAAAAGCTTAAGACGGAACTCTTAAAGTAAATTTTTCTTTTGTCTCTAATAGGACGCATGCTACTTCCTATGAAAACAGAATAATAAGTTCTATAGGATTTTTTTTGAAAAGTGTAACAAAGCAAGGACTTTGAAAATGTGCAGTCGTGTTTTTATCAGCTTGAATTCTTTACATCATTGCTTAGCTCTTTGCTAGTATGACAAAATGTTCTGTCACATTCAGAAAAAGCTTGTTATGGAAAATAACTCTCTTGTGATTATAGGTTATATTATTGTTGTAGTTTAAATTCTGTGTTGTTTTCCGGGAAAGAGATGTGACTTTAGTTGAGCGTTTAGACAAGAGGATTTGAAGCAGTATTAGTGAGTTCCTTTGACCACAATTAAAAGAACTGACCATTTTATGAATGCAGAAAAGGTATGGAGGGGAAATCAGCATTAAAAAGATGTTATAGGTTTCTTGGAAAAAGGGTGAGAGGCACACTAGCTCATTGTACGGTTAGATTGGCTCTTACCTTAAGCCCTCCCCATTTTTGGAGAGGGATTCTCTGATACAGATCACCCTCTTTTATTGACTACCATCTGCTTGAACATAGTTTCAAGGAATTTGCTTAGAAATGCTCTTTGAAAGTGTAAGACATCATCTGTGACTGCTTTTGAGGTGCTGCAGTGGGTATATCCTAACTTTGCTATTGTACTTTCTTGGAGTGCCTTGGTCAATTGAAGGGTTACATGATACTTCAATGCAGGCATATGCTCTTGGCATGTTATTATTCCTGTGTATTTGATGCCATGAACCAGTCTTCCAGTTAGGCAGTTAAACCAAATGACTGATGTATCAGTACTTGTTATTGCAAACCAGTGAACAATAAGTATTACCTGTGTTAGTGTGTCTTTATTTAAATTACAGAGGAAAGATGTAAAGAGTAGGTCTTGATAAGAATGATGCCTCAGCTGAAATTGAGTAGATTTGAGGGTTTTGTCAGAGAACAGTGAAATGCAACTAATGACCCACCTTGGTATCTTACTTTATCTAGTCCCTAACAGCTAGTTACAAATAATGCCTGTAGAGTGCTTTTGGTTCATGAGGAGAAGCAAATTATTTTAAGGATGAACTGCTGCTTAGCTTATTTTACCAACATACAAAATATTTTAGACATTCTGCAAATGCTCAGAAAGATAAAATCTGTGTCGTTTTGTCCCAAATCCTTGATGAAAAGTAGCAAAGAGCTATTATTTATTATATAGATATAATGATGCTGGTTAGGAAAGGAATCTTTTTTTTATTTCTATAGTAAATGTTAAATGCCATAACTGGGAGAAGGATCTGAGTGGTCTGGACCATTTGCAAAAATGCAGGACGATGGATGTGGCAATATCTGAAAACATTTATAATCTATGTCGCAGTCATGCAAAATGTTGAGCTTTCTTAGCTCCTGTAAATTCCAGTAAAATTGAATGGTAAAGTTGGATGGCTGCTGGGCTGTGAACAGTGCTGTACCTGGGCAGTGCTCAGTGTCTAGCTGGTGGCCGATGATGAGCAGAGAACCCTTGGGGTCACTACTGGGACCAATACTGTCCAACACCTTCATCCTTGATCTGGATGTTGACACAGGGCATCCTCAACAACTTTGAACATGAGGCTTAGTTAAGGGGAATGGCTTCTACAACAAATGGCAGAGGTTCAGTTCAGACAGGCTTTGATAAGCTTGGGGACTGTGCCAACACAAATCTTAGGAATTTTAACAAGGACAACTGCAAAGCTCTGTGCTCGGGGCAGAATATCCCTATGAAGCAGTATAATGTGGAAAAGGAATTGACTGAGGAGCTGCATTTCTGAAGAGGACATGGGAGTACAGTGAGTGCCAGGCTGACTGTGAGCCAGCAGCATGCTCTGGCAAATAAGGCAAACAGCATGATGGGTGATGGTAGTAGCAGCACGGCCAACAGACTGAGGGGAGTTGTTATCCCCTTCAGGTATTGGTAAAGGCTGTGCTAGGAATACCGTGCCCAGGTTTGGGCTCCCCAATTCAAGAAAGTCACGAAGAAACTGGAGACGGACTAGTAAAGGTCTGTCAGGATAGTTATGGGACTATCAGACGTGACCTTGCAGTTCATATGGTAGGGGCCATAAATTGTGGCTTGGGAGATTCAGCTTGGACATGGGGGAAAAAAAATTTTACTGGGCAGGTAGTGCAGCATTGGCACAGGTCATCCAGGGAGGTGGTGGAATATACATCCTTTGAGGTTTTCAAGACTTAGCTAGGAAGAGCCACAGCTGACCTGCTCTGGAGTTGGTGGTAGTCTTGCTTTTTGAGCAGGTGATTGGCAAGGCCCTTTCCAACTGTTTCAGTGGCTCTCCAATAACTAATTTTGTTAATAAATAATTGTGTGATCATAGTTTAGTCTGGGAAAGACTGGAATTTGCACAAATGCATGCACATGTGCACACACACATACTTTGGGAATACATAATTCTTTTTACTTCTAGATATCAGCTTGAATTAAAAGAAGAACACATAGCCAGAACCAATAAAGTTACTGAAGATGAGAAAAAAAATAAAGGTAACCATCTCTTTGAGATTAATAAAGTAGCTGTTTATCTCTAGAGCTTTTACTAACAGATATCAAAACACTGTAGTTACTAAACAGTCATGCTGTTCAGTAACAGTGGTATAAGTGACAGAAAAAACATCAAAATAGATTTTTGAAAACATGTAGCAGGATCCAGGGACAGGTCAGCAACTCCTTGCTGTTCAGAATGCAGTGGGAACCGTGAGCTGCTGCTTTGCACAGAGGCTGCAAAGCATTTTGCTTTTGCAGTTTCCCATCTCCTTCAGTCTGAAGTCTTAATAGCTCATTCATTCTCTAATTGAACTCTGGTACACTCTGGTATCATACTCTTGAATGGTTGCCAGTTTTTACATTTATTGTGCACAAGATGTTTAATTGGAGCTTGAGGAAAAGAGCTGGGACAGATAACATGTTGAGACTTATAAGTTAGGGACGTGTGAAAGAAATGATATATCATGTGCATATGAATTTGATTTACTTAATTCTGAAGGATTGTATGTATGCATATGTATATATGCACACAGTGTGACTTACATAATTTTGAAGGAGTGTGTATGACAGTCATTTTTATGTCTTGAATTAAATTGAATGTTGGGTTTAGCAGCTTAAACTTTTTTTTGCTGATACAATTTTTTACTCTACTACGCTACTAATTTTAATTCAGCATTTGTAATCCTCCCTGCAGAGAAAGCTATGCTTTTGCATGAAGAAACCATTGCTGTTAATTCAAAAAAGGAGGAACTCAAGCAAGCTATATCACGCACGAGAGAGCTTGAGGTAATTGTAAACATGAATTTAAAGAAGCTGTATTCTAATTAGTGCTTTTGAGATACATTTTTAAAAAAAAGAAAATGTGAAATAAAAATGATTTAGTAGTACAACAGTTCATAAGCTTCTAAACTGTTCTTTTTCTGCAGCTGGATTTGGAGTCAGCGAAGGCCCAGGTTCTCTTGGTAAATAAACAGAATCAGTTGTTGACAGAAAAACTGAAAGAGGTATCAGACTATCCTTTGCTAAAGGAGGAGAAATTGGAGCTCCAAGTGCAGAATAAACTACTTAGGCAACAGTTGGATGAGACTCGCAGTGAGAACCAGCATCTTCGAGACAGTCAGTGTGAATGATTTAATAATTTTCTTGTTTATGTTTCCCTACAAGTATTTGTTTAGAAGTAAATTTTCATTAAAATACATTCTTTGTATTATGTTTACTAGTAGTTTTTATTAAACCCCAAGTAATGTTTGTGTAAAATGAAACAGTCCTTGACATTATAAGTTTATTTTCTGTAATATGTCTGTATCGTAGAAATACTGAATTGTGGTAGCTATAATAATATGAAGAATATCCCTTTCACCCTTTGAAAAAAGCAGAGCAATGTTTCTAACCATAGCATTAGTATGGTTAATAATGGTAAAAGAACATTGCACTATTATTTTTAAGTGCTTGCCTGACTATAGTCATAAAATGCCAAGTATTTTTAATGTGCATTTGAGATTACAGGAGAGTAGAGATGTACATCCAGTTAGGGAGGTAAGGATATGTATTTTTCTTCCGGAGTAGGACAGTCTGTGTCTAGTTCTTAGATGACTACACCAACGAAAATTTCAGTCCTTTGTAAAAGGAGGAGAAAAAAATCCTTAAGTACTTTATTCAAACAAAGCCTTGTTAGGTTTTTCAAACCAAATCAGCTTTACATTTTGAAGGGGTATCGTGTAGAAAAGTGCACACTCATTATTCTACGGCTGAGTGTCTAGTATTTCTCTTTCTGGGTAGAGCTATCGCAGCCCTCGGCGGAGCACCTGGCCTGCCAAGTGGAGCTGAGGAGAGTGGAACATTCTAGGAAGCTGGCGCTGGATGAATTTGAAAGTCATAGGCAGATTTTGGAAAAGCAGCTACAAAGTGAGGTAAATTATTGTTTCTAAATAATTTGAATCCTTTCTTTTTCCTGCCATCCTGTTCATTTTTATCTATGTACCTGTGCAGGCCGTTTAGCATGTAGTTAGGGGGATTGTTTGTACTCCACTTATTTTTATGTAAACAACTCTAAAGAAAACAAACAAAAAGAACACCAAAAAGCAACCAAAAAAACCCCAAGACACTAACCCAACATAAACAAAGTAAATCTTTCCAAGTCATTAAGTTGTCAGCACTGACTTTCAGTAGGATACTATGTGTATGGTTTAACTGGACCTGAAAACCATTTAGAAACAAGTATTCAGCCAGCTGAGATTACTCTTTGTGTTTGAATTATGCTGATTTTTGTTTTCCTCTCGATCTGCTATAGGTTGAGCGTTGTGCCCAGTTAAAGACCCAACTGTTAGAGTCGGAAGCTACTGTCAGGAAGTTAAATGTGCAGGTTGAGGAACTGAAACTGCAGGTGAAACAAACACAGGCAGGTTTGTATCTTACACCAGAGCAGTCCTTTACGAAGTTCACTTACCTAACTAGTATAAGAATTTCCAGAAGCTTAAAAAAGCTGCAGTTGTATGCCACCAGTGAGTAGACTTCAAGTTTAAAATCAAAATTATTTAAAAGCCCAGTGTAAAAAGCAGACTCATTACAACTTCCCTTCCTTTCAGAAAACATACACATAAGAGGAAGGGAAAACATTCCTCCCTGAATACTTGCATGTTTTTATTGTCTGTTTTTCCTCAGTATGAAGACATTAGCGTTTGGTGATAACATAATCACTGTTTTCCAGGAGGCAAGTTGTGTTTTAATGCCTTTTGATTCTTGAATGTTCATAATAAGAGTAATCAATTTGAAATTGTATTGTGTACTTCACAAATTTAAATCTAACTTTTAAACAGTTGTTGTCAAGGCTAACAGCTTATGCACCTCATATAGGCATTAGAAAGAGAGGCAGGCACTTGCGTAAAGCAATTCAGTCTGCTGAAGAAATGTATTTCTAAAGATGCCTATCGGTCTTGCTAATATCAAGTATGATAAATAAAAGTTTGGGGATGTATATTTAATCTAAAAATATGGAATTAAATTCTGCAATGGTTATACATTGTATACAGCATGTTTTGCACCATAGTTCAATATATGCAGTATTTTATTCACTAGACCAATGTGTACCTTTTCATATATGGTACAAGTATCAGTACCATTTGGAATTGGAAATTTGTTAGTGTCAAAATAGCAAATATATATTTTAATTAAATGACTGAAAGTACTGCATGGACTTTTATTTTGCATCAGAGTTAAGGATGTAATTGAACAAACATTTATGTAGAATAAAAATAAGTTGGTGGTTTTGCTGAGAAAGATACAGCCCTATAGATTGGTCTTTTGGGCTTGCTGAAGCACATACAAGTGCAAGCCAGGAAGCAGACAGCCCTGAAACATTCAATTTAACTGACAATTTTGGAGAAGTACTTTGTTTTTTTAAAAACAACAATTTGTCTCCAGATTTCTTTTTTTATCTAAATAGAAGGAAGCTGTTAAGACTTGTGGCCTGCCCTGTGTCCCTCACCTTTTAACAGTGTGATTGGATATAATGTGTCCAAAGTGGTGATGTTTTAATTTTTATTCATTTCTTTAAACGTAATTTAAGCAATAACATTGTAGAGGGCATAGTTCAGGTAGTTGTACACGGAAGGATTATATAATAAAAAAATAATATCAGCGATGATTTGCAGCTATGCAAACTGTGCATTGAAAATACATTTAAGTCAAACCATTAAATTCTCACAATTGAGCCAATCCCATGTTAAAATAATTTTAATCAAACTGATATTTACATGCTGTGTTTTACTGTTTCTGTTTCATTATGGGTCTCCCTCTCTCACTCTTTACTGTCACTCACTTTCTCTTGCTATCTTTTAGCTCTAGAAAATGAAGTGTATCGGAATCCAAAGCCTTCACTTGTTGATCGCTCTGTCCTTGACTTCACTGGTGACAGAATTGTACCTCATGATATTTATGTGGATAGCACATTCCTAAAGAATCAGGTTATGACTGATGTGATGAAGGTAAACGCTGTGCCAAGATTTGGCTATCAGCAGCAGTTACAGCCACGCAGTGCTTCTCCAGATTCTGACCTAGAGTGTATGGCACAAACCTGGGCTAGAATAAAAGAACTAGAAAAAGAGGCAGAGTATTTGGAAGAAGCCTACAGGAACTACCAACACAGAGTCATGCAGGATGCAGCTGCAAGCAGAACGCCAAGAAAGATGCAGTCTCCTTTACTCCTACAGTGTGCTGTTAGTAGACCTCCCGTGACAACCCAGCATGAACTTCTAGAGGATAATCCCAGCTCCCAGCGCTCCCCCCTGCACAGTCCAAGAGGTGAAAAACACATCAAAAAATCTGGGCAGGTTGAGGTCTTTAAAAATCCCTTAACACCACCGTGCAGAGGAGCGTCTTCTTCAAGACGCCTTTCTTCTACTCCCATTTCGAAATTGGAAAGAGATCTCGGTAACAAGAAAACTTCAGATGGTAAGTCACAATTTTTAATCTGGTGTTGTATTCGGCTTTTACTTACTGTTCTTCTTGCACTATGGGAAAAGAAAGATTTAGTAGTGGTTTCACTTATTGGTTATTTGCTAAGAGGCAGGAGAAGTCAGAGACAAAATATGCTAGCTGCTTGGAGTATTGCTTCTTCATGGAAACAAGTACTGGAGAAGTACGTTGAGGGAGGCTAAACATACTGCACTTAGTTCAGGTAGCTTTATAGAGAAGACTACGCTATATAATTCAATACAGGTGTAACCTTATGATGTGCAGTTTCATTCAAAAGTTGCTATGAAGTATAACTACGTTGTAACATTAACTGTAATTTCCCAGGTTTAATAACCCTCCCTCTGTATTCCTATCCTTTCATTTAGCTATTGTAGTTAATGTGTGCAGCAGAAGGCTGCTTTGTCTGGCTTCTCTTAAATTGAGTTTTCCAGTCTGAAAGGTCCAGATTTGCTTTTCTTTTTTCTTTTTTTTTGCTGTGACATCTTTATCAAATGTTCCTGAGCAATTGTGAGAGGGAGGGGATTAGTGTTTGGTCATGATTGGAAAATTGTAATTTGCTATTAATTTCACAGTGTCATATAATTACTTAGTTGGTTTTTTTGAAGGGGCAGTACTCAGAAAAGCAAGCAAAATAGAAAAGAATTGAAAATGAAAAAAACATTACACTGTTTCAAATCTGCAGTAGGTCTGCTTCTTGAGTCATGCAATTCTTGTCACCCTAGCTCAAAGTGGTTTTAACAGGATGAAAAAAGAGACAGTACCAAAAAAAAAAGATAATCATCAACTTCTGCATGAAGGAAGGTTAAATACAAGAAGGGCAGCTTAGTTTGGAAAAGAGTTGGCTGAGGTGGGCTGTGGCAAATCTGGAAAGCAATGAGTGATGTGGAAAAGGTGAAAAGGGATCAATAAATCACTGCTTCACAGACCCCAGAATCCTGTGAAATTGCAAGGAAAGAGGTGGAAGTACTTTTTCATACCATGAGTAAGTTGTGGAATTTATTGCTTCTGTGGCAACAAGTGTAGATGCAGGAATAAAACTGCCCTGTCAGGAGGACCCAAAAAAGTATTGATTGAGGAAAGGCTGGGGTGGGTGTTGCCAGAAGTAAGATTTAAGTATTCTCCTTTTTTAACTTTAGTTTTGTTTAGTTATGGGCACTGCTAGAAACAGGTTACAAACAGTCTGATCTATTGACGCTGTCCCTGTGTTTCTGCATGTAGAATGTCATGCTCTGTTACTGAAAACATATTTGAGAACTTGAACTTCCAAAGCAGTCTTTTACGTTTTAAGTTTTCTCTGTCAGCTTCTGTATAAAGTACCTACAGGCTATTTAATACTGCACACACACACAAAATCTTCCATAAAAGTAGGGTTTTGTTGTAAAATCAGGAAATGTAAAAATTAAAGCTGTGTGCGTAACCTTAACAATCCTTCCTGTCTTTGTACCTGTCACAAGCTAGTTACGTGATGGCTGATTTCTTTTTTCCATTGGATCTGTTCTTTGCTTAATGCACAAGACTGACTTGTTCTGGAGACGGATAAGAGCTGAATAACAGAGGGCATTACCTGACTTAGGTGTTACAGAAAATGAGCGCTATGTAAGTGTAGGAGGCTGGGTTACAACTAGTTGGTTATGTTCTCAAGGTAAACTGATGCAGTACTTGCCCCAGTAAGCATGGTATCTTCAGTGCTAATGTGCTGTGGAGTGATTTATCTGCTTCCAGTTAGATTCCTTCCCCACTGATAAGTCACTTCCATTTCAAGAGTCTTCTGAGGAGGAGTGCTGTTATTGGTATATATGTTATCCTTTGTGCTAGAGATGGCTGAAGCACCAGATTTGTTTTTGCTAGAAAACCATAAGTCATTCTGGAAGCTTCCATGGAGCTTTTCAGTGCTGTTGAAGATGCCAGTCTGAACAGCTCAGAATAAATTTTAAGAGCTAAAAGCTATCATGCGCGTGAGTCTGAGATTTGTTTTTCCTTTAAGTGAGGTATACCTCAGTGACAGCTCCAGCTTAGTCATCAGCACGTCTTCCTTCGAAGGATGAAAGGAAGAAGTGTGTCCTCCTGTAAAATACTTGTAGTTGGCAGATCTAGCAGCTGCTTTACTGCATAATCTGCCAATGGAAGGGTATGTGATTTTCTCTCTTCCTTTAAATTAGCTCATTTTGACTAGTTTTCAATTAGCATTTGACTGTTTTCCTTCCCAAGCCCATGCATGTTGGACATCTTTCAGGCTTTGACTTTCTACTGGGAAGGAGTAAGCCCATTTCTTTAAGAGCAACTAAAAGTAGGACAGGAGCCTTTGCTGTTTTTCCCCTGCTTGCTGTCTCCAATATCGGGTATCGTGGTTTCAGCCCAGCCGGTAACAAAGCACCACGCAGCCGCTCGGTCACTCCCCTCCCATCCCGGCCACAGTGGGATGAGGAGAAAATATAAAGGCAGGCTCATGGGTCAAGACAAAGACAGGGAGGGATCACTCCCCACTTATGGTCACGGGCAAAAGACAGGCTCAACTTGGGGAAGAAACGAAATCAATTTCATTTACTACCAATCAAATCAAAACAAGGATTCTGAGAAGTAACCCCAAACTTTAGAACACCTTCCCCCCAGTCCTCCCTCCTGCCTGCCTCAGCGGGGAATGGGGGTTGGGGTCAGCTCGCCACACCTGGTCTCTGCCGCTCCTTCCTCCTCAGGGGGAGGAGGACTCCTCACACTCTTCCTCCACGAACTTCTCCAAGGTGAGTCCCTCCCGCGGGCTGCAGTCCTTCAGTCCCAGCCTGCTCCACAGAGCGGCGGCCATCTTGGGGGGGCTCCCCTCCCCTCCACCGG